TATAGATATATAATTTTATTTATTTCAGAGAGGAAGGAAGAGGGAGAGAGAGATAGAAACGTCAATGATGGGATAGAATCATTGATCAGCTGCCTCATGTACACCCCTTACTGGAGACCCAGTATGTGCCTGGATTGGGAATCAAACAGTGACCTCCTGGTTCACAGGTCGATGCTCAACTACTGGGCCATGCCAGCTGGGCTAGTCATCTTCTTAACAATTCCGCAGTGACTTTAAAATAGCATGTTGCTCTGTTTGGTGGGGTGGAGGGGCTGCCAACACCCCATTGGCCTGCAAGGATGCATGAAAAGTCTTGCATTTCCATATAACTGGCTTCCTCTGTGTCCTACATGTTTTAATTTATGCATTTAAAATTATCTTGAAAGCAAGTAAATGAATAAATAATCCTAAATATTTTTTTAATAAAATGTATCTTGAGAATAACTGTCAAGAGAGTAGATGCACAAAAACCTAAAAACTGCTGACCTAAAGGGGTGGGGTATGCAGAGAAGGTGTGAGGGAAAAGACACAATAGTGAAATGTTCTCCAGACATTGATTGGATTCTCATTGAATGAGGGCCATACAGATTCTACCTCCAACTTCCTTTTTCACTTTTATCATCCCACTGTTCCTACTTCTCAATCATCTACCTAAACTCTGTTTCCACTAAATTGTCCTCAGGGACCCTCAGATAGCTCTGGTATTGTCTCTTTTTCATCTTAGCTCATTTATCCATTCACCTATGCTTATAGGTGTTTACTGAATGCCTCATTTCTGCTAGGCATTGGGCTAAGTACAAGGGACAGAAAAATGAACATGACAAACACCATCACTGTCATAAAATTTGCCCCCTGCTGCCAACCGAGATTCTTTCCCTGTTGGGTTTTTCCCTCAACCACACGTCTCTCAGGAAGCCTTTCCCAATGCGGTTCCACACTTGACTTCCTCCTCTGAGGAAGCTCTTCTTGTCACCCATCCTTTGAGTCAGTATTTTCTGCTATTGAGTTGATTTTATTTTTCTTTAAGCTTCCCAGCCCTATGGACTCGATCATCACAGACTCTGTCCTCGAATTTCTCAAGTCCTTCACACTGTCCTATGGTAGCAGCCTCTTGGGACCTACAATTTGACTTCACTGAACATTTTGCTCCAGCTGACCAGAAGAGATGAGTAAGTCAGCTGTTAGACCCTCCACTACTTGTCAGGTTCTCCCTTAGCTGCAATTGTGTAAGATTTGCAGGAATGTCTGGGTCACACTTGGCTATTAGACTTTTTAGGCTTTTGTAATTAGTCTTGAAAACTTACTTTTGGTTCTTAGGTCGAAATCATTCGCCACTAATGTTTTTGTCTGTTCCATCCTTAAAACTAGAAAAGCCAAACGATTCTTTCTGCACTCTCATAGAAATCACCTGATTTTCAGACGGTGCTTTGAGTCAGTACTTTCTGCTATTGAGTTGATTTTCTTTTTCTTTAAGCTTCCCAGCCCTATGGACTTGATCATCTCAGACCCTGTCCTCGAATTTCTCAGGTCCTCCACACTGTCCTATGGCAGCAGCCTCTTGGGACCTAAAATGTGACTTCACTGAGCGTTTGGTTCCCGTTGACCAAAAGAGACGAGGAAGTCAGCTGTTAGACCCTCCACTACTTGTCAGGTTCTGCAAACACAAGCCCAAGTTATCTGTATTTTCACTGGCTTCAGCCCCAATATGGCCCCATAGCCTGGTTCCCCTTCCTCCATTTTCTTGAGAAACTGTTGCTTAAAAATAATCCTTTTCCAATTTTGTTAACAGTCACATCATTAGTTGCTGAAACAGACTCCTATTCTGACTTTAAGCGGAAAATAAATTTATTTGCTGATTCATTCTGGAACCAGTGGAGAAACTGGAAAACCCAGATCAGAATTAGGCAGGAAAAGAAAGGCAAATCATACCAGGGGATTAGTACTGCAAACACATGCTGCTGTCCCCAGGGCAATAGATGCCACAGCGTGGACCCATGACAAAGTCCCAGTCCCCAGATCACCTATCTCAGATCCCCATGGGCAGACCATCTGTAGACACTGAGGAAACATCCGCCAGCCTGGCCTGTGCATCCTGCTTCCTCACCGTCAGCTGAGGAGCCCAGCCGGGCACTCTCATTGGCCTGTGCATCTACCTCACCTGGGCAGGGCTCCAAGCCAAGCTGCTCCCAAAACTATATCTGGCCGTCTCTCCGAGTCGTCTGCACCGGGACCTGGGAAGTCCAGTGCCTTCCACTCAGACACGATGAGCACAGTGGTGCCTGTCCTGCTGTCCCTGCTGCTTGTTGTGGGTCCTGCAGTCGCCCAGGACACTCAAGACGGTGAGTTGGGAACCAAGGGCTGGGTATGGAGAAGAATGCAGGGGAGGGAATGAGCGAGATAGATGGGCTGGGAGAGGGCCCCAGATGAAGCTGGGATTCCCAGTGCACAGTAGGAATGGGTGTTGGAGGCTGTCAGCTACCTCAGCTCACACACTTCCAGAAGCATTTAGGGAGCCTCTGGACTCATGCTAAGTAAGGCCTTAAATAATTAGAATCTAAAATTCTTAATAGGAAAATGAGCAAAACTAAGACCCATATGCCCTGGCCGGATAGTTCTGTTTGTTAGAGCCTCATCCCAATACACCAAGGTTGCAGGTTCAATCCCCAGTCAGGGCACATACAAGAATCAACCAATGAATGCATAAATAAGTGGAAAAACAAATATTTCTCTCTCTCTCTCTCTCTCTCTCTCTCTCTCTCTCTCTCTCTCTCTCCCCCCCCCCCAAATTTAAAATCAGACACGATGAGCACAATGGTGCCTGTCCTGCTGTCCCTGCTGCTTGTTGTGGGTCCTGCAGTCGCCCAGGACACTCAAGACGGTGAGTTGGGGACCAAGGGCTGGGTATGGAGAAGAATGCAGGGGAGGGAATGAGCGAGATAGATGGGCTGGGAGAGGCCCCAGATGAAGCCGGGATTCCCAGTGCACAGTAGGAATGGGTGTTGGAGGCTGTCAGCTACCTCAGCTCACACACTTCCAGAAGCATTTAGGGAGCCTCTGGACTCTTGCTAAGTAAGGCCTTAAATAATTAGAATCTAAAATTCTTAGTAGGCAAATGAACAAAACTGAGACCCAGACAAGTGAAGTGACCTGTCCTGGGTCATACAGCCAGGACAGAGCAGGGGCCACACCGGTGCAACTTTTTGTTCCTCCCGCCTTCCAATGGCTGGATGTATCTGTCTGACTCTCAAGGAGAAAGATAACAGCTCCAAAGAGCACTTGTAAAGGCATATTAACTGGAGGATACTTCTAGAAACAAGCCCATTCCTTCCCCCAACAGTTAGACACTCGGACAGTGGGCCTGGAAGGATAGTGACTGGGAAAGAAGTCAGCTGGAAGTTGGGCAGATCTGAGTTTATATATATATATATATATATATTATTATTGATCTCAGAGAGGAAGGGAGAGGGAGAGAGAGATAGAAACATCAATGATGAGAGAGAATCATTAATTGGCTGCCTCCTGCATGCCCCTTATTGGGGATCGAACCTGAAACCCTGGCATGTGGCCTTACTGGGAATCAAATCGTGACCCTTGGTTCATAGGTCAATGGTCAACTATTGAGCCATGCCGGCTAAGCCCAGAGTCAATTTTAAGACAGAGTAATGGGGCTTTCTTTGGCATAGAAAATTTCAGGGTGAAGAAATGTAAGCTAAATTGTGTAAGTTTAGAATCCATTACATTTACAAACTGTCAGAATATGTGTTTTATAATGATTATGTTTACATTGTTAATCACACCCTACATCAAAATCTAGTTTAGATTTAGGGTTCTCAAGAGAATGCCATGTATATGCACAGAAAGAAACATTTATTTTAAGGATATAGCCCACACCATGGTGGGGGCTGAGAAGTCCAAAATCGGCAGGGTTGGTCCGCACACTGGAGACCCAGAGAAGAGATGATGTTGCAGTCTTGGGTCCTGAGGCAATCTGGAGGCAGAGTGCCTTCTTCCTTTGGAGACCTCAGTCTCTTCTCTTGTGGCCTTCAGCTGATTAGAGGAGGCCCACCCACATTATGGAGAGTAATCTGCTTTACTCGACATCTACTGAGTAAAACGGTAATCATATTTAGAAACTAATTAGTGATAAAAACTTCAGTCCTGGAACGAAGAATCTGTCATATGTCCTTCAACATTAGTAACACCCATGAGAGTGAATTCACGAATTCATTATTGAATTAATTATGAAAATGCCCTGCTCCCTCTCCCCTCCAGTCTCTGCCTCATACCAAAATGCATGGACAGCCCTGGCAATTCTGAGCTCCATCCTGTTCTTACCTTATGCTGATCCATTCTAGGTCATTTCCTGAGTTTTCTGGTCAATTCTCCTTCCTACAGGTTCTAACTATATGTGTCTCTCAGGTTCAACTAGGCTATGCTCCAATAACAAAGACAGTTTTTAGTGGCTTAACCCAAACTAATGTTTATTTCTTGCTCATTTAAAAATGAATACAGATCAGGCAACTTTCCTCTCCTCCTTGGAATGACACGAGGACCCAAGCCGTTGGCATATTAGGACTCTTCTGTTTCAACCTGTGGCCTCCACAGTCATCACCTAATTGGAAGAGACGCAGAGGGTTCCAATCAGTTTGCAGGGCCTCCGACGAGAAGAAAGAAATCACTTCCCTCACATTCTCTTTTGACAGAACTCAGTCACGGTCCCAATAGACCGACAAGAAAACTGAAAAATATCTCTGACGTGTCAAGAGAGGAAACTGTGTAGTAAAAATGCAAAATATTTGAAATATTATTCCCCTGAATAGAAGTAGAGCCTCTTCTCCCAAGTAGCTGACAGCAGGTGGAGAGAGCTGGGGAGGAAGAACCCCAGTGACCTGGTTTCCCTTCCTGGTCTTCTGTTGTCCCACATTAAGACTCCCCTTTATGGTCCCCACATCTCAATGTTTTCTCTTTTTTTTTTTTTTTTTTTTTTTTTCGGGGGCCTTACTCTCTGAGCTTCCTCTTTACCGGAGTGTCCAGGCCCAAGGCAGACATCGCTAGTTTTCAGGCCACTGGCTTCATCAATGACCAGCCCTTCCTCCACTACGATAGTAAAAGCAGAACAGCTGAGCCCCTGGGCCCATGGAAACAGGTGGACGGAATGGTGAACTGGGAGGATGAAAGCCAATTGAAGCAGGCCAGGCAGGACATCTTCATGGAGACCCTGAAGGACGTCATGGGCTATTACAGGGACCGAGGTCAGTGGACTGTGGGCTGCTGGGGTGGAGGGTCTTAGCACCAGAGGCAGCCTGCTCTTGGGAGTGGAAAGTGGTCTGCGGGATGGAAATACTTATATCTAAAACGAGGTGTGGAAGAACCAGTACAAATATACAGACATTTCTGCACCCTCCTCCCCCACATCAGAGCTGCTTTTCTTCCTTCCCCATTGCTTCCCCCATCCTCACTTTTAGGCCTCAACTCTCACAGGAAGTGAAGTCAGTGTCAGCCCTTGTCTAGGCACATCTGACATCTTGGTTCCACACCCCCACATCTGAGGTGGATTCCACTTTATTTATTTATTTATTTATTTTAAATATATTTTATTGATATTTTACAGAGAGGAAGGGAAAGGGATAGAGAGTTAGAAATATCGATGAGAGAGAAACATCGATCAGCTGCCTCCTGCACACCCCCGCACTGGGGATGTGCCGACAACCAAGGTACATGCCCTTGACTGGAATCAAACCTGGGACCCTTCAGTCCACAGGCCAACGCTCTAACCACTGAGCCAAACGGGTCAGGGCAGGTGGATTCCACTTTAGAAGGTGTCAGGCTCACCTCCACCCAGGGATGTTGGGTGGGGAGTGAGCTAACCTTGGGTCATTTTGACGTGGGCTCAGGTGCTGGCTCTGCCAGTCACTAGCTGTTTGACAGTGAACATGTAATTAATTCTCTGGTCTGAATCTGCAATAATTGCATCATTGAGTTCTGCCTCCAAGAAACATGAATTATTATCTAGGTAAATTCCATGGAAGCTAGAACGGACTGTCTTGATCTCCCTTGGAGCCATCACCTAGGAGAGCCAATAATAATTGCTAAGCCCTAGCTCCGTGGTCAGCAAACTGCGGCTCTTTGGCCCCTTGAGTGTGGCTCTTCCACAAAATACCACGTGCGAGCGCACGTACAGTGCAATTGAAACTTTGTGGCCCATGCGCAGAAGTCGGTTTTCGGCCTGGGTGAGTCTATTTTGAAGAAGTACTATTGATATTTGGCTCTGTTGACTAATGAGTTTGCCGACCACTGCCCTAGCTGGTTTGGCTCAGT